AATTACCAGTGCATTAGCAGTGAAAATTGCTTTTAGATTAGCAAAAAAGTATGTTAATTTAAAGCTTTACACAATTTCATCTCTAGTAAAGCAATTGAAAAAAATCTGAAGAAAGTAGGTGAATCTGTGGGACAGCTGATTTGGAAGTTGCAAATGTTAATTATAATTAAGGATTTTGCCTGCAAAGATCAAATAAGTGTTACAATTGCCTTTGATGGATGGTGCAACAAGTACAGCAAGAATTAATGAGTGTAGTGTTTATTGCATCTTCAGGATAAGACTTGGTTTGGGGTGCTGAAGACATTTAGCATTGAATGGCACAGCCAAACAAAAGTGATTAGCAGAATTCAGATTCTACTTGAAAGATAAAAGAACTAAATATAAAGGTAAACTGTCTTGTAACAGACTCAGCATCACCTTATGCAGTCACCCACTCTCCCCTGTTTTTATTTTGCTCACCAGGCAAACTGAGAAATATTCAAGGACACAGTAGAATTTAAAGTCACAAGTGCATGTGCGATTTGTATTATTATTATTTATATTATATTCTTCCATCATTCGGTCTATTTTTCAGCCAAGTTACATGAGGAGCAGACAAACATTTTAAAAAAGTACATTACTCTTGTAACACCATGTTCAACCAGGTGGAATAGCTTTCATGATAGTTCTGATAGCATTACACTATCAGAAGCTGATATGAATTAAGGGTTAGTCTGAGAAATTTTGTAATTATTATTATATATTAAGTCATTTGTCTCATGTAGACACAGCAAAGAATGATGTTGAAGCAGATGATGAATTAAACTTTCCCAGCGATGTGAAGAATACAATTGATTATGGTATTACTTGATATGCTCCACCACTTTTGCAGAGCTCTTGACCATATACAATGTGACAAGGCTTGTATTCATATACTCATTTGCATTTTTATGCAAGTGTTCAAAAAACTCGAACAGTCTCAGTTTAAAACAAAAATGATTAGTAAATTGGGGGAACATGGGCATGTTGTACACGTACCTCAGTTTGGGACCTGTCTCAGTTCTAGACCGCAATATAAGATATCTTATGACAGTTAACTAAATGTTCATGACGTTTTGCTGCTGTCATATATAAATTATATCACAATGTAAACTCCGTCTAATCCTCAAAACGCATTCATATACGTAAACTTTAAAAGTTTTCAGAACATTTATTTCAAAGAATATTGTATTGCTATTACTATCACAAGTAGAAATGTATAACACACCTGATTGAATAACATTTTATTTTCAGTTTAAGAAAACTGCGCGCTGAAGAAAGTTTATGAAGAATAATATGAAATCTGCTAAATAATCTTAAACTACTCACAAACGACTCATTCGATGAATGTAATTGTAACGTTTGATAAAGCGTATGAATAGTATTAACTGATTCTAAACATTGATTCGTAATAGTAAGCGTATATTTGATCATCAAATTGTGCGATAACTAATCAATGAATGTAATTGTAACGTTCGATAAAGCGGTATGCATAGTAAACTGATTCCAAACATTGATTCGTAAGCGTACATTGATTACCAAATTGTGCGTACAGACAGCCGTCATTATACAGTATGAATCATTCAACAAAAATTGGGCGATAACTTCAGGCGATGAACAATACATAATATCATTCAAGACGGCGAACGGCACGTTGTTGTCTTATCATTTATCTCTTAAAATCAAAGATAGTAATAGTAATAGGTAATAAAAGCTTAATCGATATCTGCAGATCACACGATCTGTCTGTGATTGGACCAAATTTGGTTGACTAGAACTACCTTCGGCTTAAACCCAGATTCTTAAGCCTTAAACACCATAAATCAAGTGAATTTTGCCATCACAAATAAAAGAAGTATCTAGCGCATTTAGTAACTCAAAAGGCGCGTGATAAGTCAATCGATGTTTACTCCACAATCCTTGTAATGAATATTGCTAACGTATATATCGTATCGAAGCCACGTTTATTACGCCATTTAATACTCTTGTATTTAAATTCGAATTTGCGTCTTCGTACCAATAAAATAATTATTGTGCTAACGTTTTTAGTAACTCAAGCATATTCACAATGATATATTTACTTACAATTGTGCTTGCACCTTATACCAACAAAAAATTACTTCTAACGTATTCGGTAACTCAAAAAGTTTTCACCATGATACGTCGATCGATGTTTGTATTTTATTCTGTGCCAAAAACAAAATATTTCTAACGTATTCAGTAACTCAAAGGGTTGATTTTTTCACCATGATATGTCGATCGATGTGCATAGCATAAACCCTTTAAACCTTTTAACACACTAATGTATATGCTTACGAACCCATGTTCGTTTTTTCGACTCGTACTCTACAATATAAATGTTGGCACTGAGTTAATTTAGGTAAAAACGCTTGATCAATACAGTAAAAAACTTCATCGTACAAAATTCTAATTGACGTCTATCAATCAAATGTTGAGATCTATATTGAGAGGCGAGAGCATGAAAGTCTGATTAAATGAGGATTAGAAATAGCCGAGGCAAAGAACAATGTTGTTTGTAGCATTGTATGGTGGCGTGCGTACTCAATTTTTGCTAAATTGATGTCTCGTAAACGCGTCTGGTGGCGGTGGCTAGCTACGCCAGTTTTAATGTAGTCGGAACCGATTTAAACTCTGGGCTAGAATTCTTACCTTCTTCATTCGAATTTTTTAGTTAATTTAAGGTAAAAGGAATAATGGAAAATGATGTTCATAAAGGTTGTATGACGAGCACGTTATCCCGTACGTTCCGTACGTCGGAAAACTTTAAAACTAAGGCTAGATAGTTTTCTTGTCATGATTATTATATAATTTTAGTATTATATTAGTTCCAGATGTTTCGGCTCTTAATCTAAGGTATGTTATTTGATACTAAGTCAAACCAATCGTGCGGTACTGTGATCGGTCGTGGTATAATACGTAAGTGATAAGAAATAGAGTCGTCTGTGTTAATGACTTGTACAGCGCTGATTCGATATCAACAAAATTTAGACATACTCTTCAAATATTCATCCTATAATTAAAAGAGAGATGATAATTATTAATTCGCCGCCAAAGCAAGTCTGGTAGCAGTTTTTTTTAATGGCTTGTTTAGAGCTTTTATATATACAAAAATTTGTCTTGATGTATCGGAAGAGAATGATGGGGAAAGAAATAATAATAAAACAATAAGAACTTTCGATAAAATTAATCCACTTACAATACTGTCTGTTCTTTATTTACATGAATTTGCAGTTTTGTTGGACATGCCATCGAAAAGTTGTGCGTTTACAGATAATTTTATCAAGACTAGAAGTTGATGCAACCGGGCTCTCTCTTTGCTTGTTAAGACAAACTGCGGTTCGGAGTAGTGAGATTGAGTATAACCATATACGTACAATATGATAGAACGATTTAAACCAATGTTTTCAATAGATTAAAACTTGATTTGATTGTTTGCATATTTTGGGGCATGTTACTGTTAGCGAGAACGGTATATTTGATGAGTTGTTCCATCATCAGAGGTAAACAAAGATGCATAGCTCATGTTAAGGCTTGCTTGCTATTGTTCGTTGTTAAGATATAACGCAGTTTTTAACGTCATAAACAATTCCATTTATGTTATCAATGCACCCTGCATACGCAATCCGTGTAGATGCATGTCAAGGTCCGGCTAAATATTCAAGATAATCTTAATGGCGTTTATATAACATTAAAAATAACTCGGACCACATATGTTCTTAATTTCCGATGGCATTTGACTAACATATTTTACATTAATACTGGTTCACAGATTCTGTGTCTAATGAAATCAAGGAAAAAATTGCCTTCACTCCGGAATAGAATGGCTTACCATTTTAGTAAGAGCTAAACCATAAAAAGATGTCATCTACAAACTAAAGTTAAGGGTATTGTTTGTTAAACTGATCGGCATTACATAATGAACATGGGTCACACACAAAGTATATACACAATTCTACGCTAAGCACATTCTCCCTCCCATCGGCTGCTCATTACACGCAATGGCGTGTCTATACCACTTCAATGGGGAAGTATTGAAAACCAAATTTAATTATATTACATCTAATTGTATCTATTACTGTACTATTATTGTATTAATAAACAGTTTATTGAATTTCCAACGGAAAAGATGTAGCCGCAAATCCGTAAACAGTCTAATATAACACTATTCTCTTGTATAAATTAATATAAATATATTTTATTTATTTAATAAATTACAATAGAAACAACGACAGGCCTTCACTAACTCTCTTATGACACCCTGCGCCAAGATTTAAATGTATATAACTCTTGTCATTTTTCTCGTCAACAGTCAACATTTCTCAATATTACTCAAAATAACTTACGTGACAATGCCGCTTTGGGATTCAATCAAGATTACCAATACTGAACGCAGCCAGCTTGAAAATCCACCTTTAAAGTTGTCTTTACCCGTAGAGAAATTGATTTCATTATCAACTACGGCCAAACAAAAGCCGCTCTGCATGTTTTTGATCTATAAAAAAAACTATGCGGCGAGCTTATTAAAGGCAAAAAAGCCACTTCCTCAAAAACTTACGGAAGAGGCCAACGAAAAGTGGATGTCCGAAAGCAGAACTGTTATGAGGTATTTTGGTTTCTTGGCGCAAATAATGGAACGGTACATAGCGGCAGTCGAGCAGAATGGTGAGCATAGTTTTGCAAATATCGTAATTGTTGCTAAATAATGTTGTTTTTATATATTTACTAAAAGTTAATTTGGTTTAATTTTGCAGAAACGTAATTTTTTGCGTTTTGTGTGCCACGAAATTGGACGGAAGATTGTCCACATGGATTTATTGACTCTATACATGAGAACGCAGGCGTGCGAACAAACAATTTTATTTTCAAATTAATAAACCAAGAATATTAGGCGTCTTTTGTCATAATTCTCTCCCTCGCCTCGTATATTCTATTCAAATCTATAACTATATCTAATATATCTAATATATATACGCATTATAACGCACTTTAATTGGGTGACAAATTGTAAATACTATACAGTACGTATGTTCATGTAATAAAATTTCATTACTTATGAGTCTTAAATCAGTAAAAGTGACAGCTTTATGACTTTGTCTAGTTAATGTTTTTGTCGTAAGTAAATTTTTAAAAAATTGTGCGAGAGAAAATTACATTTGTTTGTTCCAATCAATATATTCGCCGTCGCAGCGGTCGGTGTGGTATGACAATTGACACCAAAATCTTCGTGCTACATGCATGTTAGGGGCATGTACTAAAAGGCGTATAAACTTGAAAGACGAGAGAGCCAACTATCCTATTACTCAATGACACATGTTTGTGATACAATAACATAATCTTTTGGAACTCGTAAAAGAAAAGACTTATATCCGGAACATACGCATTACGTTAATTGTAACATATACATTTTATACTGATTTGAAGCCAATTGATTGTATCGAATATTATATTCAGTTACGCTATCGTTTTAAAGTTGCAGTTGCAGTATCATTTTACATAGATGTTTCATGAGTGACAGTCTTTTTAACAGTATTTTAAATAGATTTAAACATGTAAATTGATAGTGCTTTTATAATGTTTATGATAAAGATATTACGAATGTCTGTTGATAACTGCGGCCGAACACTTGTATCGTTTTTACGAGAACTTAATATTAATGTAACGTAACGATGAATTAAACGAACAGATTCTGTACTCTATGTTAACAAAAGATATGCATTCATCGTGCTGCATTGTTATTTTTTGAAACAAAGGTTTAGCCCGCCCGATTATTAATGGGGATAGTCGAATAATTTGGTTAGTCAGGGTCTCGCCCTTTGCAGATAGATATCTCTTTGTTCGATAGCGATAGTGGTTGTTACCACGAATTTAGCAAGTTTGAAAACTCCGAACCGCACTGTCCACGCAATTACGGTAGCACATGCCTGTGGGAAGTTCTGAAGTTACACTGATCATGATCCATGCACTTAATACTAATATTGTATAGCCGTATAAATAAACATTTGAGAAAAGAAAGCAATAATGATAATATTGTTAATGGTAGAGCAGTAGAACCGATGACTCAATGACGTTGACGCTTTATTAAGCACGATATATGGCTTTTATACAAACGATGTATATAATTAATATACGCTTAAAATAGATAATTTTTATACTAACATTTTATGGAAGGTAACTGATCTACTTTTTTCGCATTTGCTTACTTTACCAAAGAACATGGTGTAAGACACTTATAATCCGAAATAAAATACCCAACTTCAAAACTCTAATGGTTTTTTATATTAGAGGGTTTAGAGAAAAACTAATCCGCAAGAATGATAGGGTACACAAAACAAAATTTTAATCAAGTAAAAAAGTTTCTTAAGTTTCTTAAGGAAAAATAAAAATTTCGGACAACCGAGTTTGTGCAGCTTGTTAGGTAACAAATAAAGCGATAAGGTATTATTGGTAATGTTTCTAGCTCAAATCGAATTCGAAATAGGCGCTTTTTTTAAATATCACACTAATAAGCGCAACATTTTTATGTGACGCCATCGAAGTAAAATGTGTTTATGTCGAATTAGGTCATATTGCAATTTGGGTATCAGAACAACCAACTAAAGAACCGCAAGTGTCTCGAGATAAGAGGAAAATTTACTAAAGATGGAAACCTGTTTGATACAGAATCAAGCACAGTTGATTAATGGAGACAGGATCGAGCGATAATTTATCAAATGAAAACTTGAGAAATGATGATTGAAAAAGTGTGATACATAAAAACGAATGTCCTGGTAAATCTCCTGTTCTGGCGATCTGAATCAGGTTGATTGTCATTGGCCCATCTTGTCTACCCTCAAACTATCACCTAATATTCTTCAATAACGTAGAGCATTGACGGAAGCAGCAAAGCTCTGCAACCCGGGAAGCCGCCGTAAGTGATATTTGTGTCTCAGTGAATTTTTCAAGTTTTAAAACTCTGCATTTACAGTTTTATTTTACCTGCCAAGCGCACGGCAAAGACAGTAATAACCCTATCGAGAGTTTCCAACGACGTTTATGTAACAGTGTTAACGACATAGCAAGGTTGTTGCATGTGCATGTAGTTGATATATCAGCCGTAATAGCAATAGTGTACAATTTAGTCTTCAATTACAGTATTACAGGTCAAGATAATATGCTTGACGGACCAGTCATTGAGACTGTTATTAATTTTAAATGGAGGAAAATTGCTAACAGATGGGTGATGTGTAATAGCATGAGTTCATCGGGTAAACTACGCGCGCTGTGAGTGGATAATAAATTATTATACGCGCATATTTTGATAGTCTATACGCACAAAAAGTAATCCCTTGTGTTTTCTGAATTGCACATTTATGCTCTTGACCCATATGCTGATGTATGATATAATTTGTCAACAAAAGCAGCAAATAACGTTAAGTGCTATACTCCGTTAAGCCGATTAGATATGTTGTACTTCAGTTGGAAATCTGTCTCAGTGTTGGACTGAGTGACTGGGCTCTGAACTGAGGCACAACAATTGACGTATAGTATGGTTGTTGTATGTCGGTTTGGAATTTATGTCCATTCCGAATGAACATGTATGTCAGATTGGAATAGTAAAGACAACCAGGTAACAACATTATAAAATAATTTATTGGCATTATGATATCAACCCTACTTGCGTATAAACAACTGAGTTTGTTTTAAATACATGTTACTTTAACGTTTGTAAGTTTTAGCATAAGAAATAACTAATCTACATAAGCGCAAGTCACTTGTGATATTACCACTTGCATGACGTCTTTATATATATTGTTCATATACACTTGAATCTTATTACATGATACAATAAATAGTATTACACGTCACGTAACAAATTACTACACTGTCGATTATGACAGTTAAATATGCTTCATAACGTTTCGTTACCGTCATATGTAATCATATCACAATGTAAACTCTGTCAAATTTCCAAACCCGCATTTACATACGTAAAAAATTGAAAGTTCAGAACGTTTATTTGGAAGACATTGCATGTATCACTGTCACAAGAAGAATCGTATAACACATGTGTGATTAAAATAATGTTTATTCTCGCAAAACTGCACAATTCTATACCAATGCCGAGGTTAGAAAAAATAGTGTGAATTCTGCTGATTATCTTCAGCGTACGTATAGTTAGTATTGACAAATTCTAAATGTTGATTCGTAAACCGTTATTGATTATTAAATTATTCGACAAACTGTGCACATACAGACAGAAACCACAAGTCGTATGGTTAAATCCTTCGTCAAAACCACACACCAGTCGTCAAATTGTATGATTAGCACAAACTTGTTTGATAATTCAACTCATCAAGCAATAAATGCATAATAACAATGGCGATAGTGAACAGTACATTGCTGTTCTGCCGTTCTGTTTATCGCTTAAACCAAATCATCTACAAGGGTTGGTAGTAGCTACCGCTAAAGCAGAGTTGTTAATTTTCACACAATCTGTCTGTATTTTGGTGGACAAGTTGGCTGGTAGATGTGTGATGCGCACCACCTTAAGCTTAAACCGAGATGGTTAAGTCTTGAATATCATCCACCGAATTGGAAATTTTTACTAACGTATTCAGTAACTCAAAGCATTCTTCACAATGGTAATGTCAGTCAGGCGCTATTTCCGCACAAATCAAAGAAATTGCTAAACGTAACTCAAAGCATATTACGCCATTTTAATATTCTCGTTTTTCAGTTCTTTCCCACTAATGTTTTCAGTAACTCAAGCATATTCACAATGATATGTCAGGCGATGTTTATTCACAATTGTATTTACATCTCCGCACCAATAGAAGGAC